CGGGGGGGTGTGTTACCCTGCTGCCGGCACAGGGTGCCCAGGTGGATGGAGACGCTCCGCTCCTCGATGGGATTTCGGGCCACGCAGGTGTAGCTGGTGTTGAAGGCACTGGTGGGCATGGCCAGGCTCAGTGTCCGGTTCCCCTCGCAGACCTGTCCGCATGGCATCTCGAGGGAGGTGTTGAGCTGCCAGATGGTCTCGGCATCGCTGCCAGCCGGCACCCAGCACTGCAGGGTGACATTGCACCCTTCAGCGGTGAGGGACAGCAGCTGGTGCTCGATCTCCGGTGTTGGCACCGGCCCTGTTTAAGGTGCAAACAAACCCTGTCACAGGACCCAGCCCGCTCCGGGACATCCCAAGGACATCCTGGGAGGGATCAGGGACACCCTGGGGACACCCTGGGGACACCCTGGGACACCGTGAGACACCTTAGGGACACCCTGAGACATGCCAAGGACACCCTGGGACACCCTGATACACCCTAGGGACACCCTGGGGACACCCTGGGGACACCCTGAGACACCCTGGGACACTCTGAGACACCCCAAGGACACCCTGGGACACCCTGGGGACACCCTGGGGACACCCCAAGGAAAACCTGGGGACACCCTGGGACACCCTAGGGACACTCTGGGACACCCTGAGACACCTTAGGGACACTCTGAGACACCCTGGGACACCCTGGGACACCGCAAGGACACCCTGGGACACCCTGGGGACACCCTGGGGGCACCCTGGGACACCTTAGGGACGCCCTGAGACACTCTAGGACACCCCGAGACACACCCCAAGGACACCCTGGGGACACCCTAGGGATACTCTGGGACAGCCTGAGACACCTTAGGGACACCCTGAGACACCCTGGGGACACCCTGAGACACCCTGGGAACACCGCAAGGACACCCTGGGACACCCTGAGACACCCTGAGACACCCTGGGGACACCCTGAGACACCCTGGGGACACCCTGGGGACCCCCTTGGTCACCCAGGGAGGGCAAGGTGGGCTGGAGGGGCAGCGAGAGGGCGTGGGAAGGGGAAGCGCAGGTGAGGGTGGATCGAGGTTGGTCATAAACCCAGGAAAATCCCGGTGACAGATGCTTGGCACCAAGAGCAATTTCTCTTCCCCTTTCCCGGGCGCTGATAACTCCAGGTGCAGAAGTGTTTTATTGCCTCTCCCATGGGCTGGTCCCATCGCCACCGCCTGCCGCTTCGCAGCCGCTCACCGTAGACGGCGAGGCTGAAGGACTGATCCTGCAACAGCGCTGGGTAAAGTTGAATCCGAGCCTGGTAGACCCCGCTGTCGCCCCACTCCAGGGCCCCGATCTTCAGCACCGTCGCATTGAGCATCTCCAGACGGTTCTTGAACCGATCCTTGGGGTCGGGGCGTTTGAAGCCGCCGGGGCTGAATTCTGCCACTTGAATGGTGGCACCAGAGCCATCCGAAAAGCTCCACTCGATCTTCTTCACCGTCTTGTTGGGGGGCAGAGCCGGGGCGAGCAGCACGGACCCCCCCAGGACGCCGTTCACCACCCAGGATGGGGAGGCTGCAGTGCCTGGCCGGGACAGGGAGAGTCTGGAGGATGGAGACCCCCAGGAGACCCCCCCATTCCTGCCTGCAGCCTCCACTCCGCTCCCCCCGGGGCACTTGCCC